CACGCCGACCCCGGCCTTCGCCGGCGCAGGTAGGTGATCCCCGGGCGAGCAGTCGGAGGGACTCCCGAGACATCTCCCACGTGTGTCCCCCACGCCCTCCCTCCATTGTCAGGGTGAAGCCGGGTGTTGCCCCTGCCCGGGTGGCGGCGCTGCGGGTTTGGATCAGGCTTTGGCCTGTGCGAAACGCTGGGCAGTCGGTGCGCTTGACGATGAAGTGCCCGTGCCCTGGAGCAGGTTTGGGTCCAGGAAGAGCGTGCTTTACTGGTTCGGTTGACAGCCACTCGCCACCACAAACGGGGCCTGTTTCATCTCAGGTCCAGGCTCAAAGACCTGAGGGCGGGGACCCTGGGAAGCGGCGAGCTTCAGAGCCTCTCCGGTCCTACTTGTTTCCAGTCTCCTTTTCTCTGACTTGATGGAGACGGGCCCTCAGCCCTGTAAGTGACCCCCGTGCAGTGGTCAGTGGTCGTTTTGTGAAGCCTCGGGGCGGGCAGGTTGTTACCTGTGTTTGGAAAGACCACTTGGGGAACCCCACAGGGGCTGGGAACGGCGGTGGGGAGCAGAGGCGGGTGTCTGAGATCCGTGAGATGGTAGAGGGACTGAGGTTATGTCCAGGCGATGAATGTGGACCCCGCGTGGTTCAGAATTCCAGCAAGACAGAAACTTGGACCCCTGAACGGAATTTTCAAACTAGCATCCGGGAATTGTGCTCCGATAGCCTTGGTTTCAAAATGCAGGAACTTTAAAAAAAATTAAGCCAGTAAAAGGTCAGCATAATCTTGACAACATGTTTAAGGGCTACACGCGTTCTTATAAATGATAAATTAGGAGTGTGCTTACTTTCAAGACCTTGACTAAACCTGTTTCAATTTTCTTGTTAGGTATAATTGTTGTTTAGTGCTACTCATACCCTCTCGCCCATTTGTGGCGACCATTCAATGAGGTAATGAGTGCAAAGCATTTAGCAAATGCCAGCTGAGAGTGTTTGCGGAGGCTTGACGTCAGGTTCATGGAGGGAATGGGAAGACCAAGGTCTGCATCTGGCCCTGGAACTGCTCACCCCTAGGACGGTGCTACCTCCCGGCGCCTTACAGTTCTTTACGGGAGGCGTACGCCTCCACTTTTCTCAGCCCCGACTTCTCCCAGGTCCTCTGTGTAATCTTTTATGGATTTCATTTAAAAAAAAAAACTAAGGTCTGAGAAATTTAAGGAAAGGTTTAATATTTAATTTTTTAAATAAAAGCATATCCACTATTTCAGTAATGTTGGATTCTTTTTTAGTGAAATATTTTATGATCCGGTTGGACCAATGAGAACTTCGACATAGATTGGTCCGACATGTGAAAAAGAACAGGGAACTCTAACAGTTGTACCATACCCTTAAAAAAACAAACACAGAAATAATACTATTTCTTTATGCTTTTGGACGTTTTGTTTTTGTTTTTGGGTTTTTTGGAGGGAAATGTAGCATCGCAGCTACAGTTGAAATTATTTTTGCCACTCTCATACCCCTCCCCACCACCCCATAGAATCTCCTTGGTTCTATCTTGTCTTTCCATTGTGGCTTATAGGAATTACCCGGTGGTGGGTATTCGTGCTCACAGATGCTAGGTGTTTTCCATTCTCATTCCCAGCCAGCTGCCAGGTTTGCTGTTTATAGCTTATCATGAGAATTATGGCCACCGTTTTGGTTCTGTCCTTGTGGCATTTGTTCTCTTACCCTCTTAAGAAACTTGACTTTTTTTTAAAAACCCTTTTCGTCTCTGGAGTGAACCCATGAAGACTGTCACCAACTGATGAGCTTATGCCATCTGATTGGCCTCTATTGGGCCACTGTTCCCTTCAACAAGGTCCACTGTCTTTACCGGATAAATTTTCCTCACTATCCACACTTTCAGGAAAAACTGACCTTCCATAGTCATGTATACTGTTTTATAAAAGATTTTTAAAATTCATAGTAATGGCTACTATTTTCTGAGATGTAGTTATCAGGCTTTTCTAACTAAGCAATTTCTCACATTACAACTGTGCCACAAGTGGTAATATTTCCATTTTAAGAGGAGCAAACTGAGGTTTAGTAAGATGAGGTGTCGGCAGTCGTTTGAGACTAGAGTCATCTCTCTGTAGTATGTAATTAAGTGTTTTACCACCAATAGAAAAGGAGGATTGTTCTTTGTTAGGATAGAGCGAAGTTTGGCATTCACCTGGGTTCTCTTCAACCTTCCTGCCCCACAGCCCCGGCTCCCTCAGGTGCAGGAAGCACCTGGGTGGAGGCCTCCTTCGGGAGAGCCAGAGATGGCATCCGTAGACTTCAAGACCTACGTGGATCAAGCCTGCAGGGCTGCTGAGGAGTTCGTCAACGTCTACTACACCACCATGGATAAGCGGAGGCGCCTGCTGTCCCGCCTCTACATGGGCACAGCCACCCTGGTGTGGAATGGAAACGCAGTTTCAGGACAAGAGTCCTTGAGTGAGTTTTTTGAAATGTTGCCTTCCAGTGAGTTCCAAATCAATGTGGTTGACTGCCAGCCTGTTCATGATGAAGCCACCCCAAGCCAGACCACAGTCCTCGTTGTGATCTGTGGAACAGTGAAGTTTGAAGGCAACAAACAACGGGACTTCAACCAGAACTTCCTTCTGACTGCCCAGGCCTCACCTAGCAACACAGTGTGGAAGATAGCAAGTGATTGCTTCCGGTTCCAGGACTGGGCCAGCTAGTAGAGCTCTGGAGAGAAACACATCTCAAAATGTGGGGACACCAGTTCCTTTCTGTTGTTGTGGGCTATGCTGCCCAGGGTGAACTCTGCATTTGCTCGAGTCCAAGGAGCCCCTTTACGAGTATACTTATTTGTCATAGTTGCCTTTTCGTAGTACAGTTTTCTATTTTTCTACTTGTCCAGTAGAGACCCTGGTTCTGGAAATTCTGACAAATAAAATAATACTACAAATGTTGTTTCTTTTCTCTTGCCTAATGTGTTTGACAGGTTTTTAGAAGGTAGGTTAAAGGCAGTAAGCTTAGTAGAAGGCACCTGCAGAGGTGTGAGGTGCAGGGGCAAGCACCTGCCCAGGCACGGGTGTGCACACAGATGTACTGGAGCTGGGCTTCATGGCCATCTCCACACTGGAATTCCTTGCGACACTAAAATTACCTTTGCTCAGGCCACACATCCCAGACTAACTGTACCCTAATGTCTGAGGTAGTGCTGGGCATTGGCATTTTGCAAAAGCACCTTGGTGTCTCAGTGCGTAGTTTACTCTAGAAAACATCAGAATCACCTAATGTAGGTAGCTGGGCCCTACCTTAGAACCTTAGCTGAGAGGTAAGTGAATGAGTACAGGTGAAATACTAAAGAGCTAATAACTGCTTATAAATGAAGCAACTATATTAACTGCTCTCTTATGAACAGAAGATAAAGAACTGCTTTTATGAGGAGGAAGTACTGAGGTTGGGGTGGGGGAGACATTAGAATTAGAAGCTAGTTTTATTGGCCCTGAAGACCAACTGTAATTGCATTTCTCCAATGTAAACAAATAAATACCTAGAAAGTTCCATCATCCTTGAACCAATAGAGGAGATCCCGTGGCCAAGTGGCTTCCCCAGTTAAATTTTCTTTGATAAGTGTGCTAGTTTGGGGGTAGAGTAGCTAGGATTTCCCTTTGAGAAGGAAACTACGGATGTGTAGGGTGGCACAGATGACAGTTTCCTCCTAATACGCTTCCCCTTCTCTAGTTACTGAAGCCCAATGTTGAGCGAAACAAGGTACCCACCTGAAAGAGGACTTCCCACTCGATTTATAGCTAAATAAATGACCAAGTCCCAGCTAATGTAGAAGGGTTGGACTTGTAGGGGAATATTGCTTCAAAAGACCTTTCTTCCTGTGCCCTGCTGCCTGGAAGGCAGCTTTGATGGCTGGACCACTGGCTCTGGCTCATTCTTGGGCCAGGAGGACAACTTGGCTGTACTCTAGAGCAAGGGTGTGGAACCTTTTTTCTGCCAATGGCCATTTGGATATAACATCACTCTCGGGCCATACAAAATTATCAGCTTAAAAATTAGCCTGCTATATTTGTTGAAACATTTAATTAACTCACCCTAATGCCTTGGCAGGACCAGACAAAATGATTTCGCAGGCTGGACTGTCCCCACCCCTGCTCTAGAGGTAGGTTTATGTTGAGCTGGAAGGAGCCTGGGTCCCTGGTGACCATGTGAAACCACCAAAATGGCCTCAGTTTGCCTACCCCCAGCCTTAGAAGTAAATCCTATCTTCAGGCCATTATTGCTTCAGGGCCTGTGTCACGTACTGTAGCAAAACCTATCCCCAAGCGAGAAAAAAGGTTTGGAACAGGCACTCTAGAGACCTAGAGCAGTGCTTCTCTGGACCATCCCCTGGGCATTTGCTAAGGATTCGGGTTCTCAGGGCCCCACCACTGACCAAATAAGTTGTCCATGAAGGCCCTGGTGCTCAATGAGGCTGGAGGACCACTGAATTTTTGGAATATCTACTCTTTCTTGCTGGGAGACTGATCTGTCAGAGAAGAGTGAAGGTTAAAAAATGGGCATTGCAGGGACACCAACTGCAGTCAAATTTCATCTGCTCAGCATCTGCAAGCTTCAGTTTCCTCATCTGCACCGTGGGGTAGGATTTTACGTGGCATAAGTGTGCACAGTGTTCTTAGGACAGAGCCTGCTACATGGATCATGGTTACAAAGGTGAGCATGGGACTGACCGCATTTAGATGCTTTCTGGCATTTTCTGAATAGCTAGTCTGAGTTTAAATGGTCCATTAACACCCCCTCAGCTTTGCTCACTGTCCATTTCACGTCCCACCCATTTCACTTCTACCAGAGGTTCCAAGCACTCTGCCCTTCCCCACCTCCTCTCCCCAGGCCAGCTCCTGCCCCTCCCACCTCTGTTCAGTTAGGGCAGTGATGGCGAACCTATGACACGCGTGTCAGAGGTGACACGCGAACTCATTTTTTTGGTTGATTTTTCTTTGTTAAATGGCATTTAAATATATAAAATAAATATTAAAAATATAAGTCTTTGTTTTACTATGGTTGCAAATATCAAAAAATTTCTATATGTGACACGGCACCAGAGTTAAGTTAGGGTTTTTCAAAATGCTGGCACGCCGAGCTCAAAAGGTTCGCCATCACTGAGTTAGGGCCTCACCACTTCTCCCGCAGACCATCCAAGACTTCCCTCTGCTCCCTGCCCACCTTACTGCGCTACCACTGTAGCCTTCATAGAATTAAAACCAATTTGAAACTAACAGACCGTGCTTTGTCACAGCCTCCCAGCTGCAGTGTTGCCCCAGAGCTGACCTGCCTCAGGGACATGGAAGTAGCCATCATCAGGAGAGAGTGAAACAGAGAAAGCGAGCCCCCCTCCTCCCCTTCTCCACACCATAAAGTTTGTGGATTTGGGCCAGAATAAAAACCCACACAGGGATTAACATCACCCCTCAGCACAATTAATTTTAAATAATCCTTAGTATTAAAATAATTTAAAATGTATAAAATTTGCAAAAATAAGTAGTAACTACACCATCTAGATTTGCCTTACAATTAATTTTCTATACCAGATTTAGAAATTTGTGTCCACTTTCATCTGTTTTCACAGCCTGAAAATATAAATGGATCCACAGCTTTGGTTTCAAAGTCCCTTTGCTGGGATGAAGGGAATGGGTAGGGAAGAATGAGAAAACACTTAAAAAATTCAGACTTTCATTCCCAACTTTGTGAAAACCTTTGCCTGAATGTCTTGTAATCTCAGGAATGATGGAGGTGGGGGCAGAGTTGGACCACGGAACTGGGTTCCTTTCCCATCCTGCCTGCCCTGCTCCAGCTCAGGGTCCCCTCCTTGGTTCCCACCAGCTTCCTCCGACCCCCCCCCTAGTGGGGCAGGGCTTCTGTCACCTGGAAATTCGGCCCATCTTCCACATCCAGGAGCTGCCTATAAGACTAACAACCTTGTTGCAGAAACTAGAGGCGCCAATCCTTTGCAACTCCCCCAGCCCTTTGCAAGTCCCTAGCCCTTTGCAACACCCCCATCCCTTTGCAACTCCCCCAGCCTTTGCAAATCCCTAGCCCTTTGCAAACCCCTACCCCTTTGCAAACCCCAGCCCTTTGCAACCCCCCAGCCCTTTGCAAACCCCCCAGCCCGCGTTGCCTGTAAACTGCCCATTTTGCATACCCATTCTTATCCCTTTTGCCTACTTCCCCATGTTATCTTTGTCCTTCTACCCCAGTATCAGCAGCTGGCTTATGAGGGAGGGAGGTGGAGAGCAGATTTTTGTGGGTGACCTGCTGTTCTCCCATACTGCTGGCATTATTGGAATAAATGCTCATATATGATTCAACCCTGTCCCTAGTGAATTGGCTCAAGTAGTGACAGGCAGCCCAGACCCATTGATTGTCTGGTTTCAATTCCATGTGGGCTTGCTCTGTATGCATGTGACTGAACCAACCCCAAAGCCCATGTACTCCACCTTCAGGCCTTCTGGGAGTCAGCACATCCCTCTTAACAGGTAAGACAGTTTGATGGGCCTTTCTGCAACTTGCAAAGTTGTCCAACAGATATGAGTCACCACTTTTCATTTATCATAGTGAGAATGGACCAACACATTTTGCTGTACTCCCTGTTGGCCAGGGTCCAGGAAAAGGAGCATTCCTGCTCCGTTTTTTGGGGGGGTTGATTGGTGCAAGTTCTCCAGAGGGCAAGTGGCATTTAAAACTCACCTCCCTTATTCCTGAAGTTCCATTCTTATATGTATTTTGCAAACGCAATTGCCCATATATAAGATAATTCATCATAGCAGACTTTCTAATAATAATAAAAGCACTCAAAGGGTCCACCAATAAGCAATTAAACAGGTTACACTATTTCCACAGCTGGAATATTGTATAGCCTTGAAAACAAGAGGCAGACCTGTCCATGATATGCATATGAACAAACTTTGAGATTCATTGATAGGCAAAGTTCAAACACTTTTTAGAATATCAACAATAGTTGTTACAGGCAGTAAGAATAACTCAAGAACTGTTTACAGATGAGGAAGTGGATTTGTGTTTTAAAAAAGGAGAGGGGTGAGATTCCATATAGTATAGCCTTGCTCTGTAGGCATGGATTTTCTGGAGAAATTGGCAAAAACTTAATGATGACTGTCCTTAGGGATTGGATTTAGGGTTTTAATGTGGGAACAAGGCATTTGCTGCTCTATATCCTCTTAGACCAGTGATTTTCAGCCAGTGATTTTTTTAAACTTGAAACACCTGACTATTTAGTCAGGGGCACTGACCTCTTTTCCCTTAGATTGGCAAATAATAACATGACAAGAGAGAGAGAGAGAGAGAGAGAGAGAGAGAGAGAAACATCAATTTGTTGTTCTACGTATTTATGCATTCATTAGTTGATTCTTGTTTGTGCCCTGATAGGGGATGTAACCTGAAACATTTTTGTATCAGGATGAAGCTCTAACCAACTGAGCTACTTGGCCAGCACTAGGCACTGGATTTTTTAAAAAGTCATTTTGGAGTAAAAAGGAAATTACTATTATTATTATTGGTTACTCAATAAAATTATACTTATTTTTTGTCAGATCAGCAAAAATATATGTATTTTTGGTGTGCCACTGAATTTTATGTGTGCCATGAGATGAAAAAAGTTGAAAACCGCTGTCTTAGATTCATTTTTTTATATAGCATGCACATCTTGCTTTTTCATGTATTTATGAATTAGAAGTGTTGCAGCCAGAAGTAAAGGGCTGAAGTTATTGGGCAATGCGGGAAGTGGTTTCACTTCTCCCCACAGAATAGCCCAACCTGAGACTGAGCTGAGCAATGAAGTCTCCAAAGAAGTTTCATTGAAATATGCTGGGGGTAGGGTCTCTCAAAAATATAGTAAACCTTTGATTTTTTGGACCTCAATTTAATGAACTTTGGACTTAAT